AAAAAAAAAAATTATATATATATATATATAATTTTTTTTTTTTGTATATATTTTCCAGAGAGGGATTATTTTTGAAAGCCATTATATTAATGATTTATTTATGAATTTAGAAACATTAAATGATTAATGAAAATATAAAATTATAGTTTTATATTTTATTTTTAGTTTCATATTTTATAAATATATACTTTAAATATCATCTTTAAATTTAAATAAAGTCTAAATGTAATTATAATTATTTAAAATAGTTTCTTTTATTTCCCATTAAAGTAAAATAACTGAACATAATCAATTGAGCAGAAAATGTTGGATGGCACTTAGAGGCTTTTGCATCTGAACTCTTCATATATATATATAGTTTAAAGTATTTTGAACGGTTTTTGAACCCTCACATTTTTTATATATATAAGTCAAGTCTAGTCACTTTTATTTATATAGGCCTAGCGCTTTATACAGCCAATACAAATTGTCAAAGCAGCTTACAGTGTTAAACAGGAGTGAGTCAGTATTGCAAACAAAATTCAATTCTGCCATAAAGCAGTTCTAAAAAGAGGACAATAGTAAAAGTCAATTTTTCAGTTAAAGGCAGTGCTTCATTGATTCAGCGATGTCATCTTCCAGTTCAGTTCAGGTCTCAGAGCAGCTGAGAAACTCAAACGATGGAGATTACAGATTTCAAACTCCAAAAGCCCCAAAGCTAAAGATGTTCCTTCACATCCTCTCGGTTTGCATGAGTGGCCAATAATGTCTCTTTGGAGGAAAATAATCATCTGTCTGAACAGTTTTCTAATAAGTAAATGGGAGCTTGTGAGCGTATGATTTTGCCTAAAAATGTGTATTTGTGTTCAGTGTATTTTGTGTATAGAGAAACCTGGAGTTTAAATACAGCTCATTTAAATAAGGATATTTTCCATTTCAGTAGGAAGTAGCACGGTCATAAAAGCATTTGAATTGTAAATGACTGAGAGCTACAGACAGGGTCGCTGGCAGTGAGGGGACAAGAAAGGCCTTTACTTTTGCAGCTTAACCATCCTTTGTGTACAGCGTCCATCTCTCCTGCTATTGACTGATCTGAAGATGGGAAATTCTTTTGCTAATCAATATTCTGTTAAATCAAATTCCATTGCTGTGCCGTGACATAGCGATTCAATCCACATGTGGATTACTAAATAACAACTCCCAAGTTCATTACTGACTCCAGGGTATGGGGGAAAATGAAACGAAAAAAGCAAAGAACGTTTGCAATCACGCATAAATGTGTGACTTTTTTTCTAGTCTTCAGATGGAAATCTGTAGTTCAGAAAAAGGAGTGGCTCGGTAATTTAATACTGGCACTGATAGAAGCTTTAAGTAATCCAATTATTACTTCAAAGGAGCCAAAGATATTGAATGTTACTTTCCAAAAAGTACTGCCAACACTAATTAATTTATCTTCCATCAAGTATCATACAGATAAACAAATATATCCGTAATAAGATTTTTTTTTTCTAAGTTGGTATGATTTTAACCTTGCTGTAGTATCATTAATGCTATAGCTTTGATTTAACCACCTGCCAAGCTATTATTCAAATGGATCATGTGCAACCAGATAATTACATTACAGATGCAGAGTTTGGATACACATCATTACGTTGTAATACAAAACATTCAAAATAAACAGTCACTGAAGTGCACTTTCCAAAAACATAATCCTTGTAAATTAGGAAAGAACTTAAGTCTTGTTTATTTGTTGGCTGTGGCAGAGAACTCTGATGACTTAGATCATGTAATTCAAGGTTAAAAAGAAAGATCATTTGTGATAAGATTTGATGTAGCTCTTAGGCTGTATTGGATGTTACTGAACCATTTCTCATGCTCTACATTTCTTCCATCTTAGCTCACATGTCTAAGAGTTTTAACCCCACCCTTCTGGATGTAATGAACTTGAATATTTGTCAGAAGAGACCCTCGGACTTCTGCAGTGGCAGTTTAAAGTATTGTAAGATATATTGCATCTTTTCATAATGTATAGAAATATTTTTGGTGGCTTGATGGCATGCCAGAATGTTTTTAGAGGGCGTTTTGTTATATTAAAGAGTAAAATAGGCTCAGTAAAACAATGCATTGGTCGTTTGCATTGCAAATCTGTTATTAAAATATTGTCATAAGTTGATAGGAAATTAACTACTCTTTAAAGCATTTGGGAATCATTTTCTAAATACACACGCTAGCCCATTTCTTGAGCTTTTTCTGGATTGTGCATGCATTTGTATAATACTTTATTTCCTTATAGAAACAAAGCTCCCACTTTTAAGTCCATGAATAGACTGAGAATTCCTAAGCCCATATACAGTGGGTATGGAAAGTATTCAGACCCCCTTAAATTTTTCACTCTTTGTTATATTGCAGCCATTTGCTAAAATCATTTAAGTTAATTTTTTTTCCTCATTAATGTACACACAGCACCCCATATAGACAGAAAAACACAGAATTGTTGACATTTTTGCAGATTTATTAAAAAAGAAAAACTGAAATATCACATGGTCCTAAGTATTCAGACCCTTTGCTGTGACACTCATATATTTAACTCAGGTGCTGTCCATTTCTTCTGATCATCCTTGAGATGGTTCTACACCTTCATTTGAGTCCAGCTGTGTTTGATTATACTGACTGGACTTGACAGAACCCTTTACCTCATTTAGAGGGATACAGAAAGATCTACATTTCTTTAGATGAGGGCTTGATTTAAAGCTTTGGATGCCAGCCATACTGCAGTGATTACCACTCAGCTATAGTGATGATATGTCAAAAACATGAGGGCGATGTGGGATTGCGGGATCTTGTAAAGACTAATTGCTTTTCTGGATATACGTTTTCATCCTGCATTGCACGTCTGTGGTCATGAAGTCATTTGAGAGACTGGTCTTGGCCTACCTGAAGAACATCACTGGACCCTTGCTGGATCCTTTTCAGTTTGCAGTGGAGATGATTGTGGACTTCAGAAGAAACCCCCCTGCACTCCCCCCACTCACCATCATAAACAGCACTGTGACTCTATTGTAAAAAAGTCCCAGCAGAGGCTGTATTTTCTTCGCCAGCTGAGGAAGTTCAGCTTGCTGCAGGAGCTTCTCTCACACAGTTCTACTCAACTGTCATTGAGTCTGTTCTGTGTTCATCTTTGGTTTGGCTCAGCTACCAAATCAGACATCAGGAGACTACAATGGACAGTCAGGACTGCAGGGAGGATTATTGGTGCCCCCCTGCCTAACCTCCAATAACTTTACACCTCTAGAGTGAGGAAAAGGGCTGGTAAAATTACTCTGGACCCCTCACACCCAGCACACTTCCTCTTTGAACTGTTGCCCTCTGGCCGGCGCTACAGAGCACTGAGCACCAAAACAGCCAAGACACAAGAACAGCTTTTCCCCCCAGGCCATATTCCACTTGAGCAATACATAACACATCTCAGATTGTATATCTGTAAATACCTTATCAAAACGTATGCACATTTACACATGCACATTCACAATTCTGTCTATTGATGTTTTCTTTTTCTCTATATTTTATTACCATATTATATTTTTTATTTATTGTCTATTCTCTTTATTATTAGTGTTTTATTTCACTTTATTACCTTAAATTATATGTATGTCTGCACTTTCTGTACTGGAAGCTCCTGTCACTAAGACGAATTCCTTGTGTGTGTAAACACACTTGGCAAATAAAGCTCTTTCTGATTCTGATTCTGAGCAGAGTTGCTATCAAAGGCAATGAGTGAAATGAGAGCATGCAACGGTAAAACCTGTCCCCATTTCATAAGGCATTTTTTCTTTATCATGCTTGTATTGCAGTAAACACTGAACTATGAAATGCATCTGCTTATATATATGCGTTGATGCATTTTCATATTTTCTTTGAATTTGTTTGCTCACTTGTGCACATTGTTCCACACGCCCACATGCATATGAGTCAGTTCAATTTAGTTGAAAGCAACTGGACTTAGTTATCCATTCGTTTTATTTTATTAGGTCTGTAGCCCTCTGCCGCTGACCCCAATCAGAGACTGTTAGCGATGAGCCCATGTTGTGTCCACCTGAGGCTGAGAAACAGATGTTTCCTATCTGCTGCTTTTTCTTTGACATTCCTTTATATTCTCGTACCAGTTGCAGTTTATTATAAAATGTCTGGCAATTGTCTGTGAAGTTTTTCAGTCACCCGGGTCATCATAGGATCAGTTGAAAGGAACCAGTACAGTAACTGGCTTATAGGATTACTGTAGTTCACCCAAAAATGAAGCACTATTCCTACATTCTTCATGGACCTTTTTAGGGTCTTTATGTGATGACATAAGTTTTACGTTGGTCGACTTCAGTGTTGATGTAATGCAGGAATACAATA